AGGGAAAAGGTGCCAGCACAGAAAGCCCTGGCTGCCCACGGAGTGCCCAGGCTGCGCCACACACTGCACCTGAAAGCCAAAGCTCACAGGCTTTCTGTCCTCGGGTAAAGGGCTGCTCTTCCGCTTTTTTAGCGCTGCGCTGCAATTTCCCGTTCCACCTCCCGAAAATTGATAGAAATGAAGTTTCTTCTCAGAGAAAAAGTGCCACCACAGAAAGCTCTTGCTGCCCACCTAATACCAAAAGTGGCCCTCCAGCTGAATATGAGATACACACAGTAAAGCTTTTCTTTCCAGTATTGAACTGCACTCAGTGTGGTTTTGAAATGCTCCACTTAAACTGCTCGATTTACTCCAGAAAAACCATTAGCCGCAGACCTACCTCATAGGCCACCAAAGAGAGTTCGGAGGGAGGGTGGTTCTTCTCTTTCTGCTCTCTCTGCCTGGACAACCCGCTGCTCAAAGTGCCCTACCTTACTAATATGGCACACTCCTCTTCTCCCGCTCCAATTTATATCACCCAGAAACCACCTGGACTCCACCCCCTGGGGAGCTGATTATGTCTCTCAAGGCACCTGGGCTGAGCTGGGCTGAGCTGAGAGCAGTTTCTCCCTGCAGTTTAAATCCCCCACAAACGCCCTCAGCTCCATTCAAAGATGAGATGATTAGAGCTTGCAGTGCAGCTCTGTTCACCTGCGCTGAACTGAAAGGAGCTCCTCCATGAAGTAAAAATCTCCGAGGAAGAACCTCAACTCCTCCCCTGGTTACCTCACAAGGTCCTTAAGAGCAGATGACCTGATGTGGTTTGCTCAAATACCAGGACAAAGACCACTTGCTGCCCACGGAGTGCCCAGGCTGTGCCACACACAGCACCTGAAAGCCAAACCTCACAAGCTTTCTGTCCTGGGAAACAGGGCTGCTGTCGCCTTTGGTCAGCCCTGCCCCGCCATTTCTGTGTCCAAATTTCAGCCCTGCACCTCAACAGCCATTCCCATCTCCCCAAAACCGATACAAATGAAGATTCTTCTCAGGGAAAAGGTGCCAGTTGCTGTCTATTGTTTATGCAATGGGATTTGACTTTTCTTTTTCAGTAGGGATTGATCCTCCCAAGAACCTCCATGTGTCAGAGGTGACTCATTCTACTGGTGTGGTTACCTGGGCTCTTCCTGCAGCACAGATTGATGGCTACTCCCTGACCTACCAGGGTCCGGATGGTACAAGCGAGGTACAGGGAATTCCTTGAATTATTCAGTCCTGCAGACCTCACTGAAATCACCCCTGTGATTATGGGCACTGCCAGTTGGATCTTGGGGGTATGTGGACCACAGGAAAAGAATTTTGAGCAGAAATCTATGCTATCTATAACCTAGGAAGGGAGAGTTTAAGGAAGGAGATGTGCTGCTGTCATGAGTAGAAGCTGTGGAAGGACTTTGTGACGGTGTAATGCCTCTTCCCAACAGATCCAGCTGCAGAAAACAGGGTTACCTCTTCACTTCTCTACCTGGAAGGACAGCACTCATTAAGGACAGAGTGTCCTACGAGTTTTTCTTGAGACCTAACCCTAAATCTTCCTTCTGAGAAGATGGATTCCATGTTTGAAGGATGGGCAGTTTGAACCCTTCAAGAAAAGCCTGTAAATTCATATGGGGTATGAGGCACTGTGGTCCAGGAAAGCTAAATGCTGTCCAGAGCTGGGTTGACCTTTGATCCGTGTTACTTGGCAGGAAGCACAGCTGGGTCCTAGCAAACAGTGGTTTGTGCTGGAAGGCCTGGAACAAGGAGTGAGGTACACTGTCTTTGTGAAGGCCCACAAGGGAGATCACCAGAGCAGAAGGACAGTCAGTACCTCCTCAACAGATAGGAATTGGCCTTGCATGTTACATTTTCCCTGTGCTCTGCAGGTGTTGTGTTTTGTGGTAGAGATTACAGATGGAGTTCATGTCCTACAGATGCACTAGGAAACTGTGATCATAAGCAAACCGTACGGCAAATCAGTGCTGTGCCTCCTGGCTGGGTGTCCTTTCTGAGCCCCGCCATCTGGAGGCTTGGAAGCACAGAGGGACAGTGTGAGTGGAGATTGGCTCTCACTTGGCTACCAGGGCTTGCCAGCAGCACTGACCAGCATGGGCAAAGGCTGCTGGTGAGCTGCCAGAGGGCAGGAGAGAGGATGATACGCAGGAGATCTTTCTGCACATCCCAGTTCTGGCGGGGCACAGCGGTGTAAGTACCCTCAGGACAGTGGGTAGCTGCCCAGGTTGTTCAGAGGTCAGGAAATACAAGAGTGGCAGCAAATCAAACAAATCTCATGCCAGCCTGCTTTGAGAGACTCTCATACTGTGCCAGTGCCCACAGAGGCTGCTAATTGTGGATTAATTGTGAAATGCAGAGAAAGTAAAGTCCTTCTTTTCTGACACTCTCACCTTTACAAACAAGGGACTCCTCTTCCCACTCTCACTGTGAGCCAAGGCTGGGTTGTTTTGTATGGGCAGATAGTGACAGGACAAGTGGAAATGGTTTCAAACTGACAAGAGAGCAGGTTTAGATTAGATGTTAGGAAGAAATTCCTTATGAGGGTGATGGAGGCACTGGCAAAGATGACCAAGAGAAGCTATGGTTGTCCTATCCCTGGAAGTGTTCAAGGCCAGGTTGGATGGAGCCCTGAGCAACCTAATCTAGTGAGTGGCACCCCTGCCATGACAGGGGGATTGGAACTAGATGGCCTTTAAGGTCCCTTCCAACCCAAACTGTTCTGGGATTCTTTGGTTCTATCTCTTGCAGCCCCTGGGGACCCCATCCATGTGCCAGCTCCCAGACAATGCAGAAAGCTGCCAGCAGCAACCTCCTGATGCAGCTGGGCACTGTGTGAGGCCATAGAGGACCTGCTGCTTTCTGCACTTCTCTTCCAGCACCTTTGTCCACAGGAACTTCCTGAGGGGGTGAGATGCCTCCTCCAGCTCCATGGCCTGCTCTGCTGATGAGTTCTGCCCCCTCTCTTCTCCCGGTGAGCCTCCTGTACCTGTATCCCATGGACTGCAGCCAGGTGCAGCAGAATGGAAATGGCTCCAGCGGCGTGTACACCATTTACCTGACTGGGGATGGCAGCAGGCCACTGCATGTGTACTGTGACATGGCCACTGATGGAGAAAGGTGGCTCCTCTTCCTGCTTTTTGATGAATGTAGTAGAGAGCGCCTGACACTGCTGTCAGCTGAGGCTCCTTTCGCTCTGCTGCACTCCTGTGTCACAGCTCCTGCCTGGATGCAGTGCCATGTTTTAGGGAGGGTGGTGAATGCCACATCAGCAGCACTAAACCAGATTTTTTTCACTCTTGTTTCTCTGGAAGGACACACAATAGAAAATGGTGCTTGACCTCTTATCTGCCTTCTCCAGTAAGAGGCTGATCTTGTGGCTGCAGAAATGATAAGAGGTGCCTCCTGACAAGCTCTTACATACTTGGCCTCCGAGTCTTAATATGGACAGAACAGGGGTCTAAGTCAAAGGCACAGATTTAAAGGCTCAGGAAAAAGCCCAGAGGCCTAAGCTTTTCTTTTCACACACAAAAAGTTATACCCTAAGCCTCGCAGTGGAAGCAGGAGTCATCCCAGAAGGGTTATGGGTATGGACAGTTAATGCAGTTCAGCTGATGTCTGTTAGTATTTAACTGCTAGTGCTGTGAGCAGACACCTAGTGCACCCAGCCACACAGGAGGTGCTGAGTGGCTAGAAGGAATCTGGGGGCAGAAGTACAAAAATTTCTTTATTACCTTTTTCACCTTTCTTTTTTCAGTGGTGATTTTCTCTACTGAACTAAATTGCTGTGTGTTACTGCCCAAGCCCCTCTAACTTAGGTGGAAGTTTAGAAACCTGGATCTTCTCTCTAAGCCTGTTTTGTCTAAGTGTTTAGATCATGCTGATTTGTGGAAAGTGGGTACTGGGGTGGATACTTAGTTATGTAAATGTTACAGCTTATGTGCAGCCAGAAAATGGAAATGGATTCCTGAGTGTGCTCCGATGTAGTGTACCGTCACAAGGTTGGATTTGATGATACTGGAGGTCTTTTCCAACTTTAATGATTCCATGGTCAACTAGAGTTGTCTGTTCCTGAGTGCTTCACCTTTTTATCTGCATTTGAGTTGGGGTGAGAAATTCTCACTTCCATCCTCCTTTGTTTTTCCTCGTTCCATTATGAGCTCACTCCACAATCCTTGCTTTGCAGGTGTTTCAGAAGCAGAGCGCTGGTGAGGTGGATTTCTACCAGTGCTAGAAAAATTATATGGAAGGCTTTGGAGATCCCACTGGGGGATTTTGGCTTGGTACAGTACATGGGTGTAACCAGTGAAGAGCTGAAGACTGGCTTTGTAGAAGCACCTTAATGGTGGAATATCCAACCCTCTGATCCTGAAGTCTTGAACTGGCAGCTTCTGTGTCTTCCCTAGCAATGCCAATGAAGCACTGAGGGATCTTTAAAGGCCCAGTAAGTATTTCCACTGACACTTTTGGGCTTTGGAGCAGTCCCAGAGCAAGCCAAACTCTGTAAAGGTTTATTTCAGGCTTGTGTGTTCTTATGAGAGGGGGAAATAAAGAAATTTTATTTGTGGGAATGCAAAGACCAGGAGTCTCCACACAACTTTGTGTTCTCAGTTGGTTTTTGTCTGTCTTGTTCTGTTAGTGAACAATGTGTGAATTAGAGGATCCAGCACTAAATAGGGCAAGGTTTTTGGAGCAAGAGTCTTTAAATGTTCTGGGAAAAATAATGTCTCAGTACAGCCAGCCTTATGCTGGTTAAGGCTGTTTGTTTTTTCTGATTCTACTGTCCCTTGCCAGAAACTGAGATAAGACAGAGTAAACTTGGCAAAATGTCTCGATAACATCAAGCAGGGAAGGAAGGGGGGGCAGGAAATAGATGATTTAACCCAAATGGCCATGGGGTGAGAGTCTAGGACTGCAAAGGTGAACCATTATAAGAGTAATTGTTTTTTATTTCTAGGTCTTGACAAGCTGCACAACCTCACGAGCAGCAGCCTCGTCCACTACGAGCTCTGCGTGGATTTGCAGACAGCCAGCGAATCCGTCTGTGCTGTCTATGACTCCTTCCAGGTTGCCTCAAGCAGGGAGAGATACAGGCTGGCAGTGGGGAATTACAGAGGCAGTGCTGGTGAGGAGGGCCTTGTGCTGTGCTTGTGCTCTGCTCAGCACAGAGAAGCAAATGCTGGGACCTGTGTATTTGTTTTGCCGGTAGCATGGGACCTCCTTCCTCAGGTCAGGTTAGATCAGATGTGGTTCTCTCTGAGGAGAAAAGTGTGTACTTCTCATCAAGACTGAAGAGAGTGTACTCATAGGCCTGCCTCATTTTGAAGACAGGAGAAAGAGTTGGGTTTTTTATGGGGAAGAGAGCGCTCTGTAACCCAGGGAAATGCCAGCTGAAAAGGCAAACTGGGAGGAGTTTCCATGAGGTAACCACTGCTGATGGGGCAGCAACCTCTGAGGCTCCCCAGCTAAGAGTGGAAGAAAAAGTGGCTTTTATTCAGGATGGGAGTTTGCTCAACAGCACTGGTAAATCCTTACCACTGCCATTGTGTCCATAGGCTTCCATTTATCCTTTAATATCCTCTTGTTATAAGGTTTAGATCTTCAGCTGGGAGGATCCAGCCCTTGGATATGCCCTCTAATAGCATTGCTTTAGAAATTAGTGTGCAGACCTCTCATTTGAGAGGGAAAAGATCCGCAAGAAAACTTACAGCTGTTACTCCATCCTCGCTGGATCCAGAGGACTTGAGCTCACGGCTCCCTGGTTCTTGGGGGCAGAGATAACTTGAGGTGGAGCTGTCTTGAGGGGAACACCTAAAGGAACACTCACTAGGAGCCTCATTAGGATGCTGGCTCACTGTCCTTGGCTTTCAGTGCATGCCTCGGAGTGCATCTTGCTGTACAGGCTTATTTTGGGCTTG